GCAGTCATATGCTCTCCCATTGAGGTGTGGCTATTCAGTTTTCTTCCTTTGAAGTTTCTATTTATCTTTGTTTTAGGATGGGAGGAAAAATCTTTAACAGAGAGTTTATTATTATACTTAATAGTTGGTAATCTCTTTTTCTCTTTATAGTTTCAGAAACAAATTGAAGCCTTAAATCAAAAATGACATTCATGTTTTGCAAGATGATTTCTCTGCATGGGAAAGATTAATATATTAGGTAGTATTTTAACAAAATACTGAATTACTGTAATTTTTTCTTTTATCACAGAAAGTACCGCCATTTTTCATTACTATTAAATTAATTTTTAGCAGCTAATTGTAACTTATTTACTGTATGAAAGAATGTTCTTTCTTCTGATTATGTCTGAAATACGTTTCTTTGCAATCCTACAGTATCTCACATCTTTTTCTGCCTATCTTTCACATATTGTCAGGGTGACCCCAAGAACAGAGTCGTGTCTGCTTACCCATTTGTTTGGGACCTTGTCATGTAACCTTTTGTTCCTGTATATCATGGTTGGCAGCGTGTTCACTAACAGGAAGATCCAGGAGGTGCAATTCCAGCTGCGGAGGAGTAGTTAGCAGTTGCTGTGGCTGGGGTAAGCAGGGAAAGCAATCACGCAGGATTTTAAGATTAGCCAGGGAGAGGAGGAAGCAGGCAGCAGCAGAAGCTGTGAATTGCCTGTTCTGGAGCAAGCGGTAGAGAGCAGATGACCTGCTGAGAAAAACATCAGAGATGATTCCCATTGCAATTCAGTCTTCTGTGAGGCTGTCATTGGGTGGCAGGTTACTTTTAGGGTAGTGTTATTTAGAAGAATTATATTGGGTTAGCGTGGCAAGGTTTTGGTAGTAAGGGAGCTACTGGGGTGGCTTCTGTGAGAAGCTGCTAGAAGCTTCCCCCATGTCCAATAGAGCTAGTGCCAGCTGGCTCCAAGACAGACCCACCGCTAGCCAAGGCTGATGGTGGTAGGGCCATCAGTGATGGTGGTAGGGCCTCTGGGATTTAAGAAGGGGAAAAAAATGCTGCGCAACAGCAGCTGGAAGAGAGGAGTGAGAATATGTGAGAGCAACAACTCTGCAGACACCAAGGTCAGTGAATAAGGAGAGGGAGGAGGTGCTCCAGGCACTGGAACAGAGATTGCCCTGTAGCCCGTGGTGAAGGCCATGGTTAGGCAGGCTGTCCCCTTGCAGCCCATGGAGGTTAACGGTGGAGCAGATACCTACCTACAGCCTGTGGAGGACCCTTACTGGACCAGGTGGATGCCCCAAGGAGGCTGTGACCCCGTGGGAAGCCCACGCTGAAGCAGGCTCCTGGCAGGACCTGTGACCCTGTAGAGAGAGGAGCCCGTGCTGGAGCAGGTTTGGTGGCAGTACTTGTGACCCTGTGGGGGATCCATGCAGGAGGATTCTGTTCCTGAAGGACTGCATGCCGTGGAAATCACCCATGTTGGAGCAGTTTGTGAAGAACTGCAGCCTTTGGGAAGGAATCGCATAGGAGAATTTTGTGGAGAGCTCCCTCCCGTGGGAGGGACCCCGCACCAGAATAGAGGAAGAACAAGAGGAGACAGGAGTGGCAGAGACAAGTGTGATGAACTGACCACAACCCCCATTCCCTGTCCCTCTGAGCCACTGGAGGGGAGGAGGGAGAGAAATCAGGAATGAAGTTGAGCCTGACAAGAAGGAAGTGGTGGGGGGGTGTGTTTTAAGATTTGGTTTTGTTTTCTTATTATCTTACCTTGATTTGATTGGTAATAAATTAATCTAATTTCCCCGAGTCGAGTCTTTTTTGCCCATGATGGTAACTGCTGAGTGATCTCTCCCTGCCCTTACCTCGATCCACAAGCCTTTTGTTGTATTTTCTCTGCCCTGTCCAGCCGAGGAGGGGGAGTGATAGAGCGGCTTTGGTGGGCACCTGGCATCCAGCCATGGTCAACTCACCGCAAGAATACGGACAATAGCTGAGAATTTGTGGCAGGCCAAAAGGTCTGAATCCCTTTCAAGCTTCAGGAACAGCTGTCAATAGGGAACACATAATGTGGTCTGTTTGTTCTGCTGCAACACTGAAGATGGGGAAAGGAGCAAACCATGTATATGAGCTGGTCTCTTCGTAGCCCGAGGCTTCCTCTTACTGAACATTTTGCATTTAAGTAAATGCTACTAATATTAGATATATGCATGCATGTAATTCCTTTTAATACATGGAGTCCTGATAGTTCTTTCAGGGTTTTTATTTTATATCTAGCATTGAGTTGTATTTCTGATGTTTGAGTGCATTTGTGGGAATATGTGGTTTCTGTTCCATGTTATGAGAAGCTATTTATAGGTGAAGAGGGGATCCAAAGCTGAAACAAGAGTGGAAAGAGAAGTGGGTTGGAGACTTGGTGAGGAGACTGGGGCAAATAGTCTTTGCTGTTGTAAAAAGTAGAGAACTACTAGTTTGAGCTGTCTGTATTTGCAAATAAGGAGGATTGAGAGCTGTAATGTACTAAAATAAACCTCTGTAAGAGCAGACTCATTCAAAATTAAGCAAGTTATTTCACTTTGGAAAATGAAAGTTACAATTTAACTTTTTCCAAATCAAAGCTTTTAATTCTGCCTTTGAAACCAGCTTTGGGTGCTGATAAATCAAGCACTCAGCCTCCCCTCTCCCCGAGATAGGAAAAAGTAGACCCACAAGTACGATAGAGGATAATGCTATAGCTGCATGGCCTAGTGTCTGTCCTGTTAAGGGTTAATGTGTTTAACGAGTTTCGTCTAGCATGGTTTGGTATTAGCTCCTCTTTGATTTATTCTTTTAGAACAACCACACTTCAACTCTTCTAAAATCTTTTGTCAATGACTTTTTTAAAATAAAATTGGCAAGCGTGTAAAAAATTCAGTTCTTTCAATAATAGACGTTATTTCCTTCCCATTTTGCCACAGAGTTGTTCTGTGACTGTCTAGAATGGGGCAGGTTATTCCTTTTTGTTATATTCATTCAGCACCTTAAACAGAGCGGTTTTGATCAGTGCTTGAGCAGCAAATGTTCAGCAAGTTCTAATACTTTGAATGCTACACAGAAATTGCCATCCCTGGTCTCTTACGCTGTGTCACGTCTGTAGAACAGCTGCTGGTACCACAACTCTAACGTGAAGTTAGGTAGCGCAGAAAGGATGAATCAAAAAGGCTTCTTTAAAATTATCTTAGGTCAGCTAGAGAATAGTACAACTCAGAGCAATACGTTGTTTTGGCTAAAGGGAGAATAAATCATTGATTTTATTTAAATTTCTTCTACTTTAGGAAGAATATAGTTAATAAAAGCCTGTAAAGCTTTGGGCTAGGTGATAGATGCAAACATTTAGTTAATTTTCCAAATGTTTTCTAAGCGCTTTTGTCAGTTTATCTTATGCTTCTGTCTTAGCTGCAGAAGAATATAGTTGCTGTTTATTAATGGGGAAGGGAAAATGGAAACGTTTAAAATTTGAAGTTTCCAAGTTTTATTTTGGATTTTATTTCCTTTGGAAATCAGTGTTTCTCACAAAAAAAAAAAAAAAAAAAGGTAGGAAAACCAGTCACTTAGAAATGAAAATAGAACATTTCTGTTGCAGTGAAGCATGAGAACGTCAGCTTTTCAACTTCACATTCTTATTCAGGATGGCAAAAGGAGGGAAGCAGTTTTCCATAAAATTACATTGTGCAGTCTTCCAGGGAGAAGATGATCTTTTTTCTTCTAGCCGTCCCTGAACTTGCCTCCCTGAGCTCTTTTCCTGAGGGAGGAATATTTGCGCGAGTGTGTGTCTTTGGTGCCCTTGTTTTTGCTTTGAAGCAACCCTCTGTCTGTGCTGTGAGCTCAGTTACATGGTGTGTGACTTCCGAAAGCAGAGCACCGCCTGGAGTTCTAGCGGTTCCCTAAGGCTGCGTATTGTGGGGGTCTGTGTCACCTTCTGACTGATTCTGTTTTCTGTCAAAGAGAATTAAAATTGACTGTGGCTTCTACTGAAGCTGACCTCTGTTTTAAATGTTGACTATTAAAATGTCATTATTGTAACCTTCAGCAAGGCATTTAGCTAAATTTCCTTACAAACCTTGCAACAACAGCTTTTCGCTTAATTCTAAACTTGTTTGAAGTCTTCAGATATTTTTTCTGAAAGCTTTGGATACCTCAACTATGAACCTATAAATTTTGGCAATAAGTTTTTTTGCAAGGTAAGTGTGAGAAAGAGGCCTGTCATGTGCATGTGCAATTTCCTACAGGCTGTAAAAACGGGGAAATAGTTTCAAACATCTCCTTTTTCTGTTGGGTTTAGGAAGGATTTTGGAAGCCTGCCAATTTGTTTAAAGAACAGCCCGCTCAAATAACGTTGTTTATATCTGCTATACAAGCATGCGTTTCATCTTCATCTGGATGGTCCAAATCTAGAAACAGATTAACTTTCTCCCTGACAGCTGGTATTCATATCTGATAGTAAATAAGTTCTCTTAGGTTGCATCCTATGCTAATGTCTGTAAACTTACAAGTTACCTGATTTTGTAAAAACAATTCTTTACTGATGCTTGAGAAATGAAAAATGTATGTTCTTATCTGTGATTAGATATTTTATGTAGGAAAGGAGGAGGAGGGACAGTGTAGCTTTCTTGGGTGTTTCAGATCACATATAAAGGAGAGATAATCTAAGCCTAAATTACTAATGGAGAAGGAAGTAGTATTTTCATACTTTTCCTTATGAAGACTTTCAGAAAGTATGACTCACACTATTAAACCTAATATGAACCTACTATTTTAAGAGACGATTTTCTCTAACATAGTCTTGACATTTTTACAGGCCTTTGGTAGTCTCAAGCCCTTCGTTTTTGTAGGTAAGTATATGGTATATTTGGATCAGAACATTAACATCCATTTGTGGTAGTTCTTCACGTTTAGTCACTATATCAACCCATAAGAATTTAGCAGCTACATAGTGGTATTTCGTATGATAGCAGATGTTTTTGGATCTTTACAGATGATGAGCCAAGTTGAGGGACAACAGAAGAATCTTGTACAAGCCATTGAAGCTCTCCCAAGTTCTGGGCCTCTTTCTGCCTTGGATCAGGACTTGCTGCTTTTAAAAGCTACCTCTGCTGCCACCCTGAGCTGCCTTGGAGAATGCCTGACTCTGTTACAGCAAAGCATGCATCAAGTGGGCCAGCATCATAACAGGACACTGTCATCAGGTGAGCGCAAGCTCTCTTGGGTATTATTTTATGTGCCTTGGAGTTTTTTATTATGATACTGAAGCAGGCAAAATTAACTGTTCCTCAGAGAGGAGTTGGGGTGAGCAGCTTGTAAGTTTCTACAGTCTCAGCTATCATAATTTTTCTCTTTGCCTAAAAAAAGATGCAAAATCTATTGAAATCAGAAGACAGGAGGAAAAGAGGTTGTCCTAAGTCTTCTCAGGGAAATCAGGTTCTGAAAACAGTAAGACAAAAAAAAAAAAAAGGGTGGACATAGAGAGCAGGCAGATAAGCCTGTATTCTTAATGACAGTGCATAACCTTTTTGGTTGGCTTGTTTTGCTTTTTTTTCTTCTTTGATTGAAATCACAATACAGATTTGTTTGATAAAAATACATACAATATTATGCAATGCTACAATGAAAAATCATATTTCTAGTTTTCTACATGGAAGGATGCTGCTGAGGCAGATTTATTCCAGTCTTTTTTTTTTTTTAATCTGGAAAGAATTCTCCATGCTGCTGTTTAAAAAAAAAAAAATCTGTGGCAAATTTCTATGAGCCTAAAATGTTGAACGGTGTGATTCTGTGTTGAGCTCTGCAGCCATGAACCTCTCAGTCCCCATGCAGCTTATTTTTTTCAGTTCACCCAGTTCTGTGTCTCTGTCCACAATGATGGAATTGGGCCTTTAGCTTTCTGAAAGGGTGGTCAGTGTTTTTCCATGCACACACTGCACTGCCTACTCTAAGAGCAGGAACAGGACTTGATATCAGAGGAGCAGCATCAGCAGAACTCTGGATGTGGGGTGGCTTTTTATGTTTCCTTCGGGTGCTTCAACAACATACCCCCCAACCTGTCCTTACTTACAGTAGGTATACTACGCGGCAAGATATGCCCTGAGGGCTGCTGAGACAGCTAGGTAGGAAGCCCCCTGAAGAATTCCCATGGTGGGGAAAATAGAAATGTGAGAGGGTCAGCTGAGAAGTAGGCAAATGTTGTAAAAAGGGTTCTTGGGAAAACCAGTGTAAAAACTTTGACGCTTAAACTATGGTATATCATGACTTTCCCGCATCCAGATTCTGATATATTTCATAAAGGAACATAAATAAACAAACACTTTTTGTATTTTCTGTATTCTGGTTTTCTTGTAGAAAATGCAAAAAAACCCTTGCACATATTTAAATAGTAATGATAAAGTGCATTTAATTAAATTATTTGATATAATTTCATTTCAAAAGAGAATGGTTTGGAAGAAAGATGAAAAGCATCCTTCAAAGAAAAGTCCCTTTCTAGTTTCTAAGTCCCTGAAGGTTGTTTTTCATGTCTGTGTGATCTAAGTGAACTGTCAGAGATAGGTGACTTGAGTTGTACATGTCCTTGAGTCTGTGTCCAAATAATCTTCTGTTAAATCAGTGTCTGTATTTTGACTTGATAATGATTTTTGAGGATTTGTGCACAAGAACAGAGAAAAACAAGCCTAACATTAGTAGTAATTGCTGAAAGGGAATCCCATATTTTTTGAGGAAAAAAAAAAAAAGTGGAAAGCCAGAACTATAAAGTACTTAATAAAATTTAGTAAGTGTTTTTGTTTGTTCCTCCTAAGACTTGTTCAAGAATCCTTTCAGGAGTCAAAATTCTGTAGCACTGGTTCACACCAGCATCTTTGGTGTAACTGTGAGAACCTGAATGCGAACAGTTAATTATTCAGAGTGTACGTGTGCTTATTCTTTGGTACGTATTTTAAGAAAAAAAAAGAAATGAACTAAAAGCTGCTGAAATATTTAGTCCCTTGTTCCTGACTGAAAGTCTGTGAGACAATCTTTTTATTTTTTTCCCTTTTCTTTTCCCCAGGCGTTGTTATGCAACACAGTTGCCTGAAAGAACCTGGCCTACAAGTCTTGATTACTGATTTTTCCTACACGTTTAATCTTGTCCAGGCGTACTTTGATAGACTTAACATTTCTGCTGAGTGGGTGGCGTTTCAGAGTCATCAAAGCTGCATAAACTCATACCTAATCAGAATAATGCCTTTAAGTAATCCTCTAGCAAACTCTAATTCTGAGACATGATATATTTCATTTCGATTCTGTGTCCTCCAGGTGAATTTTTTTAATTTCGTACCCAGAAGGTGCAACCAAAAGATGACCTTTACTGTCACCTGTTGATACTGTCAGGTGAAAATGACTCTTGTTAGTTTAAAAGCCATATGTTCTTTTGACAGGAAGCCTCAAGTGCCTTTCCCATGAGATGTGATGGCCCTGTGCAATTTATTGCCAAATGTTTCCATCCCAGTGCAGTCTAATTACTTGCTGCATGGTGTCCCAAGATGCTTGTGAGTGTTGTGGGGCAGGATCCACAGAATTTTGCAGAGAGAGACAAGATAGGAATTTGATAACATTTTCTTGTTTCTAGCCTGCAGTTCATGAAAGCAGTCCAGTCCAGCAAAGCAGCACAGTCCTGCTCATGTGTAGTGTGAGAAATAGTCAGTGGCTTTGCTTTGGTGATTTGAACTTACCTTTGAGTTTACCTTCCTTCAGCATTAAAAGCAGTCACTATTATGCCATAAAGAGAGAGAACTGCCTGAAAAGTAGATACCTATCTACCTTCTCTCTTTTCTCTGTAGCTTTGCTCTGCTTGTGTCCTTGAAGTCTTTATGGCTGATTACGCAAGGATTGCAGATGACTTCTCTGTGCACCGTAGGCCTTGCAGTCTTGCTGCTTCTAAAGCAAGGACTTTAAGTTGCTGAGAGTTTTCTGACCTAGTACTTATGGAATTCACTCATGAAGATTACAATTAAATAGTAGCTATTTTAAACAGATATACAGACCTTTATCGTTTTACACAGAAAAATATGGCTCCTTTCTTTTGATGTAAATATTTTTATTGCTTTGTTTTCCAGTAACGAAAGCAGCTCGGCATGCAGTTTAGTGGAATCTTATCCAGAATCTAGGATTGTGTAGGTCTTGACTTTAGATATTTTTATGGCATCCTTTGTCGTGGAATATTTTAAGGATGACATGATTTTTCCTCTTCGTTTTCATGTTTCTCACGAGTTGTCAGTCTTAGACCTCAAGCCTACAAGCAGACGTGAAGATTAAACTGAAGTCTTCAATCTTGTCTTGAAGGGTAGTCAACACATGTTTTATTTCCACTCTAAAGCTTCAAGGAAGGGTTTTTGTGATTGTCTTTTTTGTTAGTGCTTGATTTTGGAAGTGCATAAACAAGAACAGTCAGTGAAGCAAAATCCTCTCTGTGTTTCTACTTTTGAGTCAAAATAATGTCAAATAATGTCAAATTCATTTCTAGCTGAGCTGGAGCACCTCTCCCATGAAGACAGGCTGAGAGAGCAGGGGTTGTTTAGCCTGGAGAGGAGAAGGCTCCAGGGAGACCTTATAGCAGCCTTCCAGTACCTAAAGGGGGCCTACAGGAAAGGTGGAGACAGACTCTTTATCACGGACTCTAGTGATAGGACAAAGGGTAATGGTTTTAAACTAAAAGAGGGAAGATTTAGACTAGATATAAGGAAGAAACTTTTTACACTGAGGGTGGTGGAACATGGGAACAGGTTGCCCAGAGAGGTGGTAGGTGCCCCATCCCTGGAAACATCCAAGGTCAGGTTGGACGGGGCTCTGAACAACCTGATCTAGTTGAAGATGTCCCTTCTCATTGCAGAGGGGTTGGACTAGATGGCCTTTAAAGGTCCCTTCCAACCCAAACTGTTCTGTGATTGTATGATTTTCTTATTGGCCAAGAATGTCACCATTTGGGTACAGATAAAGTATTTGCTACTCAGCATTAAGTGCCTTGTGACAAGCTTGAGTTCATTTAGCATGCAGATAGGAAACAGGTGCCTTTTAAAATAAAAATGTGGAGAATAAACTTTTGTCTTCACTTCAGAATTTAAAATTTGTAGGGTTATTTTTTCTGCCTGTGTAGCCCTTGGCAGAAGAGTGTCTCTAGAGCCTATTGATTGCTATGGTTAATGTTCTCCCCTCCCAAACTGCAAACAGAGCAAACTTAACTGTTTTTTTTTTTTTTTTAAAGTAGCTTTACCAGGTTATGTTGTATATTAAGTCTGTTATTTTATTTTTGTGTTTTGGCAGACAGAATCCTGTTTGTAGTAGCAGCCTGTACAGATAAACAGATAGTTTGAGTTTCATGTTAGCCATTAATTTACTGAATAAAGCATCTCCCTCCTAGGAATTCCCTCCTATATTTTTTCTGTTTCTCACTTGCCCAGTTTTCCAAAGTGTAAAATAGAACGTGTTTTTTTTCCTGAGGATTTTTTCAAAACAAACCCCAAACCCGTCCTCACTATAGATTTTCTGAAGTTCATTAGCTTCCATAGCAGCAAATGGGTTGAAGATGATCCTGGAGTTGGGGGCAATGTACTTGAACTTTGCTTTAGCAGATTCTCTGTTGCCTCCTTTTTGGAGAAAGTAAATGGACAGGAAAGACAAAATCTAGATGCTTTCAATTTGGTGACAAATGACAATTAGGGATTCTCCTGCAGCTGAGAAGGCAGGAAGAGAGAAAATTAAGCAGAGGAGTCCTCTTTCTTGCTTCACACCCCACCCCACCCTTCAACCCCCAGAAATGCTTGTGGGCAGGGAACGGTGAGAAGAGACGACAGGGGAGACCAGACTCTTTGTTACTGGTGTAATTTGCTAAATTTGGCATGGTGGGTCAGGTCTCCCTTAAATACATCATCACTAGACTTGCTTCTGTGGAGAATAACCAAAACAATTTGCTGTTCTATCTAAATGCTAATACCTTATTCCTTATATGTTCTTCTTTCTTTGGAAGATAATGTTATTTTCTAGTCCCTGCAGAGCATTGGCAAATACAAGGTTGTCTTTCTAATCTGAAAAGCAGATGTGCAGCTGCCTCTTGCTGTTGCTGGTTCAGCCTGCAGTAGGATTTAGCAGAGAGACAAAACTGTTGCATCCATCCCTGGCAGGGGATGGAATTGAGATCTAATCTTGGTCTCTGCTCGAGGCCTACTGCTGTATAGTTAAGGGGGTATTTGTTAGAGTATAGTTACAGTATTTTGTAAGAGTTCTTTTAATAGATGTTAGTTTACAATTGTGCAAGGAAAAAACATGAGTTTTTTTCAATCTATAAACCCAGACCAGGGGACTTAAAAATAGAAAGGTTTTTGTTATAGAATTGAGGTGGGTGTTAGTCATACGTCATGCATCAATTATCATGCAAAAATGTAGTTTGAAGGTACATCAGGTACCTAGAAAATCAGAACCAGGAAAAAAAAAATATCAACATTGCTTAACTGAAAAATCTACTGTAAACCTTCTCTTTGTGGAGAATTTCCCTCCCTCCTGCTGTGTGCACCTGTGAAAGGGAAACACGTGTTTCCTGAGGGCATTTGTGTGGGATACAGAGTATTGTGCCATCTGAAATAGGTGTGTGTTTTGTGAACT